TTAAGCTCGATAGTTAATCTTTTAAAAAAATTCCGAACCTTGCCTTTTGAGAGGGAATCAAATTTAGATAGAAAGCTTTCTAAGTTTACCTCAAAATTCTCTTGGTCGGATTCTTCGTCGGAATTAGCCATGAGGCATAACCCTGCCTGATTGGAGCTCTTTTCATCTTCTTCTTCATCATCATCCGATGAATCTCCCCAAGCTATCATCATTGCCTTCTTGAGGTCTCTGTTGAACCCTTTATCTTCACTAGACCTTCGGTGAAAACTCGTCTTGTTCTTGTCGTAGGTTCTATCATTTTTCTTTAGAGGACAATCTTTTGCCCTATGCTCAAAGGACCCACAAACAAAACAACCTTGGTTATTAAAAGATTGAAAACCTTTCTTACCTTGCTTATTTCGGTTGCCCTTGAATTTCCGGTACATCTTTCCGAATTGCTTTGCAAACATGCTCATTTCGTCTTCCGACTCACTTTCGGATTCTTCTTCTTCTCGAGCCTTGAGAGCTATTCCTCGCTCCTTCCTCACATTTTCGGCAGCTTGTTCTTCTTGTAGACCTAACTCATATGTCATGAGTGAGCCAGTCAAGTCTTCCAGAGTCATGGTGGAGAGATCTTTAGCTTCTTCTATTGCCGTAGTTTTGGCTTCCATACGGACGACAAGCTTCTCATAACTTTTCTTACCTGATCTTCCACAATAATCTCTTTCCCTAGTGCTGAAAGCTCATTTATAATATTAGTGAAACGTGTAATCATGTCCCTAATTGACTCTTTAGGTTTCATTACGAATAATTCGTAATTCCGCATAAATATGTCAATTTTGGACCTTTTTACACGCGAGGTACCTTCATGCGTAACCTCGAGTAAATCCCACATTTGTTTTGCGGATTTGCATCCAAGAACACGGTTGTGCTCAGTCAGACCAAGTCCACAAATCAAATATTTCAATGCTTGGGCATTATGCTCGAGTTTACGATAATCATCAGCAGTGAATTCAGATTTAGGTTTAGGGAGAACCTTACCTTCGGAGTCCACCTTACTAATGATGTTATCACCTGCCTCAATTACGTTCCATACCTGATAATTCTCAGCTTTGAAGTTCTCCATTCGACTCTTCTGGAATTGGTAAAATTTGCCGTTGAACAACGGTGGTCATTGAGTCGAGTATCCTTCTTCCAATCGTTCTACCATATTCATGTTGCTGGATCTCTTCCCAAAGTTTTAACCTTTATATGGCGAAGACCGGGTCTGATACCAATTGATGAAACGGTTAGAAACACAAGAGGGGGGTGAATTGTGTTTGTGTGGAACTGTGGCAGTTTTTCGCACAGTTCTAGTGTGGGGTTCAGAGAAATGCGAAATAGTAAAGTGCACAAGGATTTAACGAGGAAATATCCCTTGGCTCAAAGGGATTAACAAAACCTCGACCTCTCTCGGAGGAAGTTTAAACAACTTCACTAAAAAGCCTTTTGTGGTTACAAGGTAAATTCTCCTAATCTATCCTTGAGCCACCCCAACTCTATCCTCTCTAGGAAGAGTTATGCATCTCTACCTTGCGGGTAGAGAGCCTCTCAGCTTTACAGCAAAGCTCTCACACACACAACCCCAACCCGAGGAGGCTACACTTTAGTTTTTCCTCAAAACTAGTTACAAGATAAAGAAGGGAGAAGAAACTATATCTAGAACTTCATGAGCATGTCCATGTGCCTTGATATTGATAATTCTTTATAAGTATTTCTCTTGGTAATTGCTCGGTCAAGCACGCCTCTTCTTTTCTTGGTCTTCGACTATATATAGCCCAGAGGATATCCGTTGATTCTCCTTCCCTTAGAGGCTTTGTAGACTGCCTTGATATTTTTGAATTACTTTCCTTCTAGTAGCTCCTCTTTTATTCACTCAATCATGAGCAAAATTGATTCATGATTTACGAGCCATCATATAAGGACAGTAAGTAGCCACAAATAATTCATGTAATCAAATTAAATCGAGCTACAATGATTTCCATATTCCGTGATCCTTTCAAAAAGATATTCATTTAATATTTCAATCAAGGATGGTTTTCCCAAGTATAGCATGCTACGGACTACTATAAATATAGCAAGGCATTCAATTAGCACAAGTAATGATCACTTCCATAACGTGCATTAACCATAATGGGGATCAACTCTCTAAAGTGGGTGCTTAGTCATACATGAGAAATGTGCCACGTGTAAAACAATATAGCTTCGTATAGATAATTATGAACAGAACATGGTACGTTTCAATAGTAGTTCTATCCAAAGGTCCCACCTGCATGATTAGTTAAGTAATGAGTTATTGTTTGGACCCAAAGATAGTGTTCAATCATGTTTAAGGTTAGTCATCAATAAAACTAAATAATCAACAGGCACCTTCTTGGAAAGAGCTCTCCAACAAATAGGTGTGGGAGAAGATATGGAGATAATTAGGAACCTTGGATGCAACTTCCTCATGTCTCCAAATCAGCCCTATAAATAGAGTGCTTCATTGTTGTTCATATCATCAGTTTTAGAAAGTGAGAAAAGTGTGTGAAGAGTGAAATACACTTAGATTAGAAGTGTATTGGTGAGGATTAGTTTTTTTGTAATAGTTGAGTGTGAGAGTTTGCTCCTCCTATTGTAATTCTGTTCTTGATATTGAATAGAAGAATTTTCCAATCCCAACATATTGCTATAATATATTTTTTTGGATTTTTATAGAACAATTATATTTTTGAAAAACCCGGTTTTCAATGAAAAAATAAATTTGAATATTTTTTCACACAATTTGGTAAATTAAAAAAAGAACACTTTTTCATAAACTCAGACGTGATTATTTTCTCAACATTTGGTTTGTACACTCACACCGGCTTTGAATTCTCTTCTTGACTTCAATTAGATCACGTAGCTATCGAGTTTGTAAGCATATTCACATAAAATTGTTACTCTACACTCCACACCAATTTTAATAGTTGGAATTTTATCAATTCAGGACCCGAAAGATAGATTAATTATTAATTCAGGACCCGAAAGATGAAACGTATCAGTATAGGACCCGAATGATGGAAAACTATCAATTTAGGATCTAATGTTTCATAGGTTTTGATTTATTTAATTTTTTATTAATTCCATTACTAATTTTTGATAAACTTTTCGTCACAAAAGTTTATTAGTTTAATAAAATGAAATAATATTTAAAATTTTTTAATAAAAAAATTATGACAACTTAGGTCCTAGATTAATAGTTTTCAATCATTCAGGTCCTAAATTGATAGATTTTCATCATTCGGATCTTATATCGATGCATTTTATCTTTCAGGTCCCGAATTGATAATTAATCTATCTTTCGAGTTCTGAATTGATAAAATTCCTTAATATAATAATACGGAGTACTTTAGAATTTGATGTTTCTATTCACATCACCTTTAAATTCTCTTTTGAACTTGCAATAATCAAATTATGTGCCTACTTTTTATAACCATTAACATCAAGAGGCCGTTTGGTAACACTGTTTATCGGCTTATCAGGCTTATCAGCCAACTTTTTCACCATACACGTAACTTTTGCTTTCACGCGCTGAAATGTGTAATAAGCAGAAAAAGTAAGGTTGGAGTTACGTACTTTTCTGGCTGTATTGGCTGAAGTTACTGTAGAAGACCATTTTAGCTATTTTTACATATAATTTTTTCTTTATTTTATTAATAAAATATATTTTAAAAGTATTTTTTCTTAAATCAGCAGAATCAGCCAATGCAGCCACTTCAGCCAGAACTTCATAAATTTCAGCAGCGTCAGTCGATTTTCGTGCTACCAAACGGGCTCCAAATTCATACTCGCGTGATCAAATCAAACAAAATTGAAACTAACCAAAACTAAACTGAATCACAAATGATTTTAATCGAATAATTTGGGTGAGTCAGGACCTAGTGGTTCTCGTCTTATTTTAGAATAATTGAAACCCTTTGGACCGGTTCTAAGTACGACTTTAGGTCAAGCACCAAAAAGACGTGTCTAGAATGATGATAAAAATGCACATTGTGTGTCACATTCTTCCTTATTAATTATATTGTTCTAAAAACTAAAAGTGAAGCTAGCTTTTTATTGATATGGAAAACTAATACATTAAGATATGTTAAATGGTAAACATACATGTCTATAACTTTATCATAAAATTTTTCTGATTCACTTATTGCTGCTATGGTTGGTATGACCCTTAAAATATGCTAATCCCTATATCTGAACAATCTTATCACTAAATTTCTTTCATCATAAGCATACTCAGTAGTATACAATAGTAGAATGTTGTGTTAGAACCCCTTAGGCATTTGATTTCGATCTCTTTCAAATTCTGGTTAAACTTCACCCCAATGCAAAACTTCAAATGGCCTCGCTAAATTCATGGCTCGATGGTGCTAAGTAAATGAGTTGGCCACTCTGTGGCTCACATTCAATGCTTGTCAAAAAATTAGTTGTAACACTTATAAGTCTTTCCAAACAATGCATCACAACTCAGTTAGGGCCAAAATATTTCTATAGCACAATACTATAGCAAATGAAGTCTTCCTTTTCATTTTTACTATACGTATAGTTTGGAAGTCTTCCGTTAATTTATAAAAGAATCTAGTCGTTTTCTTTTCCTTTTCAATGCTTTAGCTATACTCCAGTAATCATTATCATTTCCAATAAAAAATAGAAAAGAAAAGTGGTTTGATCATGTCCAGGGGTGAACTAAATATGAAAAATGAAAAAAATTACACTAATTTTTTTTTAAAAATATCAAGTTACCTTGAGTTTCAGCCCACTGATTACCATCACCTAAGTATCTTTAGTTGGGTGTTTTTAAATTGGATTATGTTTTTAATACATACGCCATTAGGTCATCAAAGATAAAGTACGTGCAAATGGAAGTTGCGCAGCAAAGAATTATGCCACTCTTTCTTTGTATAAATTCATACACATAGAATTCTAACATCAACAAGTCCGCCCACACTTGTGAATTGCGATAGATCAGGCAGGAGAAGAAATGGGCGGCTGGAATGAACCGCAGTTGTACCAAAACGTCATCGTAATGAGGCATGGGCCCCGCCTTGATAACTTTGACAAGAACTGGACTATGGCTACCGAGCATCCCTGGAACCCACCGCTGTACGACGGCGACGAGTTCAAGAACCTTTATTCAAAGACGGCGAAGAAGATCCGGGAAGAGGTCGGAGCCCCGATCCACCGCGTCATCGTCTCCCCTTTCCTCCGCTGCCTGCAGACGGCGTCCAGGACTATCCAAGCCCTCTCCTCCCATGATTCTCACCAACAAGTCCTGCTATCCTCCTCAAGCAACGCCGCTGCCGCCGCTCATATCAGGCCTTCCGAAATTAGGGTTTCTTTCTCTGCTCTCTTATACGAAAGCGTGCACCGCATCATCGTC